TTGAAAGAGGTGCCATCCCACTACCTTGGCTGCTGAAAACCCTTGTGGGAATGCTACATCCCTGACTAGGGTAAAATCCATGCATTTTTTCCCCAACTGCACTACTTCAAGATATCAAGTTACAGTTTACTTCTTTCAGTTCCCACTGTGTTCAAGGTACTATGTGGTATTTTGTGAACTAATGGGTTGAATGTCCCCCAAGTTGTTGCAATTTGTCAGCTGGGCCCTTAGACAATTTTGCTTTGGACTCTGATCTTACAAAATCCATTTTAAAGACAGTTTCTTTGGCTTCTACCTGCAATTTTGCTTTTCTTTTTTTTAAGGAAATAAGAACTTATTGGTAAAATTAAAGCCCTTAGTCTATACCTCCTGTTCTCTTTCTATTTTTTCCTTCCTAGAGGTGACCATGATCACCTGAAATTCATGGTTACTTTCCTCAATTATATTGTTTGTTATTACTACATAGTATAAATCCATAAATAATACTTTGCATTGTTATGTATATTTTACACTTTATGTAATTGGTATTATACTATATCCATTGTTATCCAATTTAACTTTTTTTTTGCTTAGTTTGCTTACATTTTTGAGATTTATCTGTGTTGATGCATGTAGTTCTGTTTATACTCCATTGTAGGGCAATGTCACAATGTATTTGTCCATTTCTCTGTTGGATGATATTTGTTTCCAGCTTTTACCTATTAACTACTGCAAAAAAAATGCTTTAATAATTTTGTTTTCCTTCTAAAGGGATTTGAAGCAATTGTAGTGTGGAAAACTTAGAATAAGGACGTATTCTTCAGAGATTGTGGTTATAGCTGTCACTGAAGGTACTTGGGGTGGGGTATAGTTTGGGAAAAGAGCGGTAAGAAGAAAGAGTTGCTCTCCTAGAATATTCCTTCCTTTTCTCTTATCTTCTCCCTGACTCTAACAATGTTTGCCTCTCCTCTTTCTGCCATTAAGGTTCTCGTATATTACCAATCCAGATCCCATCAAATCTCTTATAGTAGAAATAGTCTGCTTTTGGAATTTCTACCTCTATGAAAGTTTAAACAAAGTGGTATAACCCAACTAAACTTTATTTTTCTGATCCATAAAAATTAAAATGATATTAATGACTTAAGAGTGTTATTGTGAGGAATAAAAGATAATATCTGGGGCCTTATGGCAGACTGGACTCTTCCCAAAGATAGCTAGAGTAGATCCCCTCCTGTTGAACCTGGGGGGCTCTGTGACTTAGGACCTCTTAACATGATTTCTACAGCAGAGGATCAACTTTTTAAATGGAGGCTCAGGCCTCCAAGAGATTATTTCTGGAGAAAGAAAGTAGAAGGTGTCAGTCTCGAGGCCTGAGCCTGGAAATCGGTAAAGTTTCTTTCACCATATTCCATTAGTCAAAGCATCAATAGATGACTGGAATAGCCCCCTAAATGATCTATTCAATCATAAATTCTTTCTTTCTTTCAAACCTATTAATAATTTCCCATCACATTTAATATAAAATAATTTTACATGCTTAAGGCTCTGAATGATTGTTTCCCTGTCTACTTCTCTAAACTCATTTCATATCACTTTCCCCTGCTCACTATGCTTCAGCTTTGGTCCAGTTCTTTTGCAGGTAACAGATCACCCAGAAACTCCGTGATTTAAAGCAACTATTTTTTATCTCATATTTCTGTGGTGTGGGGGTTCAGGGGATTAGGAGGGTTGTTCTTCTGGTTTTGCCACTCATGCAGCTGTATTTAACCAGAAGATCAGGAGGAAGCAAAGTTCAATTGGGACTCTGGGATGATGGGGCTTTGCTCTCCAAGTGGTATTTCCATTTGAAGGAGGCAAGACCAGACAGGGCTCTCTCTCATGGCTCATCTGTGTTCCGAATAAGCACTTATCAAACTTATGTTGTTCATGGATGTCCCATTGGCCAAAGAAGTCATGTGGCCAAGTCCAAAGTCAATGTGGAAGAGAGCTTCATAAGAGCATGGATGCCAGGAGGCAAGATTCATTGGGGGTCATAAATGTGACAAGACCCAAAGGCCTGATTTCATTTCCTAGAAAACACCAAGTTCTTTTCTACTTTAGGGTCTTTCCATAGTTTCTTCTTTTAGGCATTCAACAAATATTTAGATACCCACAGGTACTAGACAAAGTGCTCAGGGTTCTTATGAGGTTTTCCTTCTAAAGAGGGGAAACACACAGTAAGCAAGTGCAACGACAAACAAGATAATTTTAGATGGTGATAAGAGCTCTGAAGAAATAAATCAGGGTAATGGGTAGAAAGTGACTGGCAAAAGTGGAGAAGTTAAGTTTAGAAAGGTCAGGAAGATCTGAGCGGACGGCACTGAATCTGAAATCCGAATGATGAGAAGGAGCGTTACAGGCAAGGAGTATTCTAAGCAGAAGAAACAGCTCCTGTATCTCCACCACTACTCTCCTTGGTCACCTCCTGACTTCCTCTTTACACAGCTGGTGACTTCTCATCTCAGCTTGAAGATCACTATTTTCAATAGGCTTTCTCTGTCTGCCTAATATAAAGTATCCTATTCTTGCCCTCACTACTCCTTACCCAGTTTACTCAAAGAATTTATGATTTTCAGTAATTTGCTTGTTGTTTACTTATTTATTATAAGTCCCCAATAAGCTATAATACCCATATAAAATAGGGTCATGTCCCAACATTTCTTGAATATTTTCATACAACAATGATTATTCAGCATTCAAATATAATTGCTAAATGAATAAATAAATGAATTAACATAGTAAGTCCCAGTCTGAAAGTGTGACCACAAATGCCTGGAGTAGGACATCTTCATATGTCCGATTCCTGGTGGGTCCAGACTACTGTTGTCCTTCTTGTTACAGGTTGGTTTGGGACTCTCCACTTTCTGGGGATTTCATTTTCAGAAGCTCTTTGGAACTTCCAGGACTCTGAGCTTAGGTCAGCACTGCCCAGTCTACCCTAACAGGTTTCCATAAATTTAAATTCCAGAAAGGAAGCTTTGGGGTATTGATCCTTATTCCTTGAAGAACTCTTCTGAGATTCTTATACTAAATTCCTACCTCTCTCTCCTGCTACTTTCAAATTCTTCATGAAAAATAAAAGATTTAAATTCTATTTCATTAGACTTCACCTCCATAAATAACGATAACAGCTGTCAATCATCCTAGTTTGCTTACCAGGTACCAGATACTTGAAACATAATTTAGCCCTCACTACAGTCCTGCAAGGTAGGAATTCTTTTCCTCATTTTTCAGATGAGGTAAAAGAGACTTACAGAGGTCAAGAAACTTCCACAGTGTCATCTAAGGATTAAATGGTAGAGCAGGTATTTAGACCTTTGAGTCTAGATCTGACTGTTTTCCTACCACCCACATTGCCGTTGTGTTGACCTGCTCAACATAGGAGAGGGAAATACAGGTCCACTATGACTTGCTTCCAACCCTGAAATCCCAAACTTTCTGAAAACCAAGTTTTTCTGCAAAAATCTGACCCAACTTGACCTGAACTCATTTGTGAACAAAACTTGACCTGAACTGATATGAAGCTAATTATAGTCCTTATTTATTCCACTTATTATGATTGCTTATACATTTTGCTATAAAAATAGTAATGTGTTAAATTACAGGGTGCTCCACCAGGCACCACTAAGGGCATTACTTATATAATATTTGCATTGTAATGCTCTTATAAGATCTGAAACATTCTACAGTCTGAAGCACATGTGGTCCCAAGTGTTTCAGATGAGCAACTGGTAATCTGTTATATTTGTGAATGACTCTATAGTCCACAAAACTTTTTCAAAGTTGAAGTAATTTTATATTATTTTCCTCTCATGCACAAAGAGGAATTTAGGAAATTTTCTAATGTGCTTTATCTTCTTGGTTTCTTTAAAGTAACTTATTCTGTGATTCCAAGGTATTACCTGTACTTGATCCCAAGAGAAGTTTGGGGTTATTTGTTCAAGCAAAAAGACATTTAATTTTAAAATTAAATAACATGTTAAGGGGGAAAGGTAAGGGCCAAAAAAGTATACCAAGAATACTATCTGTATTTTTTGAAAGAGAAAATATATGCAGTTATTTTCATGTATATCCATCAACTAGAAGAGTATGAGCAAAATTGATAGCTTTGTTTCTCTCTGGGATGATGGGAGGGAGATATTTTTATTTTGTACCCTTTCATAAGTTTAGAACAAAATGAACTTATTATCCATTCAAAAACTTAAAGTCATAAATAAATATATCCATGGATGATTTTTCACAAAGTGTGAGAGACTTAAGACACAAATGCTACCCAAGTCAGCTGAGTTACAAGTGCACAGCCTGGCGTTAGTCATTAGTGTGGCACATAATAAATGGTTCATGTTCTTCTTGCTTTCACCTTTTTCCCATTTAGGCCAGATGTTTTCCACACATTTTTGACCACTGAAGAGCACACACTGGCCTTTGTTTTTGGCTCATGCCTGGCTGCACTATCCCTCGGTTGCTTAGGTCCTCGGACAGTATTCTTCTCTGGCAAGTACTCTCAGCCTCTGGTCTAAGTGGTTATCTGAGCCTGAATTCAACTAATGGTCACAGAACAGGATAGAATAAGAGGATTCTGGATGAGAAGCTGGGCTAAGCTGGCAGGCAGGGGGTGGGCAGAGAAGGCACATGGATCCTGAGGCAGGCAGCAGTCCATCTGTGATGGCCATCCCCAGACAAAGGCAAGGTCAGAGTCCAGGTAGGAGGTCCAGAGAGCAAAGCTTCTCTGGATGGCATTGGATAGAACTGAACCTGGGCATACAAGTGTAGGTTTGACATTCAAACCAGGCACTAAAAACAGAGTTAAACTTCCAGAAAAGACAGGTTCACACATGTTTACTCCAGAATGGAACTATGACATCCCCTCTGGACTGGTTTTAAGCACTTTTCCTCCTGAGGACAAATCAGAGAGAGGCAGGAATCTGTAAGTGTTACTTGTAACATGTAGTGAATGTGATTCTCTCCCCTCCCACATGCAGTGCTGTCCAGCCCAATTTTATACCCTAAGAAGTGATGGATCACCGAAGTCCCAACAAACTTTCACTGTCCATTGCCTGGAGTTGGGTTGAATGATCTGGGGGCAGCCCTGATGATTAAGGAGGCAGGCTGGTGACCTTAATGGATGTGTGTGAGTAATTGTGAGTCACGAAGTCAATCCATAGCTCATTTCAACAACCATAAGTTGTGGTGCCCGACTGCCGTGGTACCATTTGTCTTATGCTTTGTTCATATTATGATGAGGGGATTAAGTTGTGCTCAATGTAGCTTTCTCTAGACACTGCAATTCAAGTCTTCGGTGAGTAGCTGCATTTCAATCCTACTAAATTTAATAGATTTAAATATTTTTTCAGGTGCATGCATTTATCATCAATCTTTGCATTGGCTCAAGCAGCCTTACCAGTAACAAAAATAATATATCACTACCTTACCTCTAGGTTCTCTGAAGAGGTAGTGGAAAGAATTGGATTTTCAAGCTCACTTTGGAAGAGGCAAGTAGGAAGGAGACTGAAAGCAGATCGTAAATCAGTTGGTTTAGGCAGGACACCTGCTCCGTCAGTCTCAGCTACATCCAAATGGAAAAATGAGTGATCTAGGATTACCCTCGCGCAATGCCAGTGGCCAAGGCACTGAAAGGTCACATCTATTATGGTTGGCATTTCTCTCCCCACTGGGCTGTTTTTTGAGTGGATGTCATACTCATCTCATACAGAAGGCATGTTCATCATGCCAGAACATTGCTGCTAATATTTGATCTAATAAAAGTCACCCTATCTTTTCTTCAAGCTTTATGATATTTAATGGCTGCTAAATGATGATTTCCTTTCTTCCTCACCACTCCAACTTTATGTTTTAATGCCTTGAATCCTTAAGCAAAGTTTTGTTTGCCACCTCTTATTTTAAACTTAGAATGATTCTTTTAAAAATGTAGTAACCAAAATAAATGTCACAGTCAGCCTTATTTCCAGGAGTGATTTTATGTTAATAGTTGATGCTCCTTTGAAAGGAGCCACTGGCCTTTACTAATAATATCATGCTCACCAGCAAACAACTTGGCACTATATTTGTAGTATCAGAAGTTGGGGGAGGACTAGAAACACAATCTTAACCAAAAAACAAACTTAGGATTGAAAAGTGTAGCAACAGCTGGTGCCAGCTGCAAGCAACCGCACAGTTGAATCCTGTCCAACTCTGAGGGAGATCTCTGAGAACTCTTGAAGCCTGCAACAGGAGCAACAAAAGACCACATTGTAAGAACGTCAAATGTAAACCCAGCTAGCTAGCACCCCCAGAAATTACCAACAGGGGGAACTGATAACATTGCCAGGAATTCATCTTCCCCAGATCAAATCACTGCATAAAATCAGCCTTATTTGTTCTAGGAAGTTTATGCTCATAAGCTTCATTCTAACTGGAGCTTTGTTCATAGCCACTAAGGCCCTTAAGGAGTCCTTTGGACTCTGTGAGTCTCCATTTTAAAAGCAATACTGACATGAACCTGGGGAAGTGTTTTTCCTGGAGTTCTTTCTCACCGGACTGGTTCCGGCTGCCTCCTGGGTGATGACGGAAAACTAAGGCACTAACCTACACGTCATTGCCTCATTTTGTAATCTTCAGGCAGTTGCACAAATGTTGTGTGGAACTTTACGAAGTAGTTAAAGGCACAGTCTGGGGCAGTCTTAAAGGACTTAGGATTGTTACTGAACTACCTAACTATTGCATATTAAGGAACTCCACCACAGGCCAGATAAGTGAGGTGTAAGGGAATGCAGTCAACACCTTTTCACTCTCAACCCTGAAGTTTGGAAACCCAAGGCCTTTCAAGTCACAGTTGAGAACTGTTGCCCAAGTAGCCTCCCCAAATTTTTCTGATTCCAGAAAGGAGCCCTAAGAAACTACAGGAAAAGACCCTGTGCACTCTCACTATGTGAGTCAGTGCTAAAGGAAGAGTTATATTTTATCAGAGATCTTCAAGAATTCTTAATATTCTTCACTTACTTGTAGCCAAGTCTATCTTTGAGATCAGCTTAGTATAAGTTATATATTTAGGTAGCTCTCATTTGCCTAGAGCAACATTTTTTTTTTTTTTTTTTGCGGTACGTGGGCCTCTCACTGTTGTGGCCTCTCCCGTTGCGGAGCACAGACTCTGGATGCGCAGGCTCAGCAGCCATGGCTCACGGGCCCAGCTGCTCCGTGGCATGTGGGATCCTCCCAGACCGGGGCACGAACCCGTGTCCCCTGCATCAGCAGGCAGACTCTCAACCACTGCACCACCAGGGAAGCCCCCCTAGAGCAACTTTTTTAAAAATTTAAAGAAAAGCAGAGAAAAGTCAGAATAAGACATATGGCCTTTAGCAACTAAATTACACAAGTAATCTCTTTACAGGAGACAGGATCTGGAAGGACTTTCATTAAAATCTTTCTATTTAGCCTTTAGCTAAAAGCAATGATTGTTTTTGAAATCTTGTTGTAGGGAGAATCTAATATAAATTTACTTTTTCTTCCTCCAGCCCTAGAAATATAAGGGAGGAGGATCTATTATGTTGCATCCTGTGCTCTGATCCTTCACCCTAGGACTAGAAGAAATAAAGTAGATTTTTGTGGAAATGTGGAGATATATGTTCATGAGTTACACTGCAACCAGGGAGTTGAAATCATGTGTAGCTTGGTTTCTCTACAGAAATGTTAGAAGGGTAGACACTGAAAGAACATCAAGAAGGATGTGTGATAGCTCTGTGGGCCTGGACAGCCTGGCTGTGGAGATGCAAAAACCCACAGCAGCCATCATTCAAGAAAGATGATGGCCCATATAGCACCCTGACCCCTCCCATGGACAAAAACCAAGCCCTGTCTGTGTTGACATTAAGAAGTCTATTTTAAGGAAAATACAAAGACTGTTTGGGAGGTAATAACTAACCATATCACTGAACTCTTTTTTAATAATGAAGTACAAAGTGATGAAACACTATTTTTAGTTTGATTTTATAATTCGTCACTGGAAAGGATGCTTGATACAGAGCTTGAAGACACTGTTCTAACACTTACATCTAACTTTGGGTAAGTAGCTTAACTTTCTCATCTGTGAAAGCCTCTTTCTTCATTTTGAAAGAGGGATACTAACATTTGTTCTACTCAGCTCACAATCTTCTTAAAAGTTATAAGTAAGATCATGTGAGTATAATTACAGTGAGTAAAAACCCCTTTCTATGGGCCTGTTCTAGAAGAAAGGGTTTTTTCTTGAAAAGCATCTATAATCATTCCATTTATTTCTTACCCATTTCTTAGAGAAAAAAAAACAAACCCTAGGGAGGATTAGCTGATTAGCTAATATACTTCATCAGTCAAAGTCTTGGAAGTTCTGACACAGACCTGTGTCCTCAACTCTCAGGGTCATTTAACTCTCCCATCCAATTTAACCACAACCCATGCAGTTTTCCATTATTAGTAGTACACTCAGTGAAAATATAATAGCTATGTTTTACTGTGCATCTGCTATGTGCCTTTATCTCTAATCCTCATAAAAAAGCAAAACCTTCAAGGTGAGTACAATCATTAACCCACTTCACAATAAAGAAATAGAATGACTCAGAGAAATTAGGTTAGACAGACAAATTTTAGTTAATGCTAACACCTGAAAATAGCTGTGACTCTAAAGAAAGTCTTTAGAGACCAAAGGAGGATTGTAGCTATGGCTTCATCCACATTAGGTGTCTGTATTCACTCTTTTTTTTTTTTAACATCTTTATTGGAGTATAATTGCTTTACAATGGTGTGTTAGTTTCTGCTTTATAACAAAGTGAATCACTCTTTTAAGATCAGTAAAGGGGTTCACTGTAATGTACTTCTTCTGTACACTCTGAGTCATTCTGCAAACCGGTACTTCAATTACTGGTCTTGCCGCTTTTCTTTGGTAGCCCAACTAGGACAGGAATCAGTTAAGAGAGAACTAAAATGGCAACCTCTTGCATGTAGGCATGGATATTTCCACTACTAAAAGGCATTTGGTTATTATGCTTGTCTTCACTTAACCATGTATCCGACTTGAGCATTTGATTCAAAAACCCCTGCAGAGAACGTCACCACCCTGTTCTTAGCACATTGACCCAACAGATAAAAAAGCATCAAAAAAAAAAAAAAGAATGAAAAAAAGATTTTCTCCTCTGGAGTCAGGTACTAGTAAAAGCATTAAAGGATTTTAAAAATCTTATGAGGATAAAAACTAGTAAAACAGTAAATAATTTTTCAAGTGGCTGCTAATATTTGGTATTCTTCCTAAAAGAGGAAGGCATGTGAGGAAAATGACATTCCACTTAAAAGAGTGTTTGTAAAACTGTCCAAATGTGTTTTAAAATGTCACCTTGGAATGTTCATTAAAACAGATTCTCAGGCCTCCTGTGAAGAGATTTTGATTCAGTAAGTGTTACTTCAGTATTAATAATGTCTTTGTTAATATAATCTAATGCTTAATAGGAATGCATAATAGCATCCTAATCAGGACCTAGGATCTTCAGAATGACTACTTATCATATCTACAGCTAACTCAACACTGAAAGGTTAGTTATATACTATAAAGGATGTTAGAAATAATTTTGTGCTCATGAAATTAGTGGTATCAAGAGTAATAAGTGACTAGAGAAAATTTGCTAGAACATGAACAAGATATATGAGTGGACAAGTACAACACTTGAATGCCATTGATGTAGTATGTAAGTCTAGGTCCCATTGGGCCCCAGTGGACCCAGCTGTCTGAACCAACAACAAAGATCACCAGTCCTGATATCATCAAAGCGTGTTTGAAGTGAGTCCTTCATTCAAGGTGCTGGGTGGTGAGCCTCACTTGCAGCAAGCCCTCCTGAAACTGCAGACAAGTCACATGACTATTTTGTGCCAATTTGCTACTAATGAATGTACAATGGAGGGAGTCTGATCAGAGACTTGCTTTCATTGAAACATATCTTTAGTAATTAGATTGTGAAGGCAGATTCCTATAGCCTCCGGATACGTCTAAAATGGCTACCAATACCTACCAGCAGAGCTTGATACACGTTAGCAATCTAAATTGCATCAGGTCATCTCACAAAAGTAAGGGAGTGGATGAGACATGCATGTGCATTTTAATTCACATATATGTGAATCTGAGGCAGGTGATCTACAGATTGTACATTAAGAAACACGGGATTAAGAGAGGACATATTCAGTTGCAAATGTGTTTTAGAAATCTAGTCTTTGACAGAAGGGTTTGAGAGCTAACAGAATTATTTGGGGGAGTCAATAGAAAATGTTTTTAAATCTTCGGATAACTTTTAGGTAGATGGACTCCAACAAAGGTTGCATGAAACATCTTAAGATAAGGTGACTGATGTGACTGACCTTCACCTCCCTTAATATTTACATTTGAGAATTTATCTCCTTTCATGTTTACATGTGGGATTTAGTTTAATCTGTGGTAAGCAGATGTCTTTTACTCAATTGTTTGAATTTCAGGCCACAT